GGAGGAAAAGTCAACCCCAAACCTCTGCGGTAGGCCATGCCCACAGAGACCAGACGCCAGGAACATCTGAGTTCTCCCCGCTTGGCCGCCTGGCATGACGGGAGGAGGCTGGGCCCAGGCTGCCTCCTGGACCGCGTCTCCGGAACAGGTCGGGGAGCTGAGGGCCCAAGGCTCTCTTCCTGCTGTCCCCAAGGAAGTGGGGTCCAGAGTTGCTGCCTGGACCGACAGGAACTTCTGGAGGCCCTGGCAAAGCAACCTGGGTGTCCCCCACGGGGAGCCCGAGTCCCACCCCAGAAGTGGCCCTGGGGGGCCTTGACACGGCTCTGCCCTTCAAGGTGTGGACGGCCCAGCCGGTGTGGCTCAGTGGTTGAGCATCAGCCCATGAACCAGGAGGTCACGGCTTGATTCCCAGTCAGGGCACAGGTTGTGGGCTTGATCCCCAGTAGGGGGTGTGCAGGAGGCAGAGGATTGATGATTCTCATCGTTGATGTTTCTGTTTCTCTCTCCCTCTTCCTCTCTGTGAAATCAATAAAAACATTTAAAAAAAAGAAGTTTAGAGGAATGGACCAAGAACCCAAAGGTCATGGAGGGTGCCTGGGGCTGTGGGGCTGGAGGAGGGGCAATCGGGGAAGGCCTCCCAGAGGGGATATCAATCAGTCTCATGGGAGGAACAAGCGTTTGTGGGTGAAGATGAAGATGGTTGAGAAGGGCACTGCAGGCAGCAGCGAAGGCACAGAGAGTATCAACATGTGGACATGAGGTGGGGAAGGGAGTCAAGAACATCCAGTTAAAAAAAACCCAGAATATACAGTTTAGTGTGGATGGAGGAGAAAGCTCAAGAGGGAGGCGGGGCCAGATCATGGAGAGCCTTGAATGCTGGGCCCAGGAGGTAGTCACTCACTACATGATGATCAAATGGCTAACGGAACGATGCTTGGCCCTACGAGGTCATCTCACTTGTTAAGTGTGTGTGTGTGTGTGTGTGTGTGTAATTTGTAATACCCCAGTAAAACCTGCTTATTCTAAAGAAAATTAAGATAGGTGAAATGTTGTGGTTGGGGAAGTAACTGACATGGAATCCACTGTTTGCATCAAAAACATCACCTGCTCCTGAACACCCCTAGAGCCAGGGAGCTCACCCCCTTACCAGGCTGCCCAAGAGTCTGCAGGCAGAGCCCAGAGGCCTCCAAACACTTCCCCCTCCGCTGGCAAAGAGCAGCGTGCAGAGCCCCCGAGTTCCTGGCAGCAACACCCCCCCTCCCACCAGGGGGCCTGTGCTGGGCCGCCCAGCTCCCAGCAGCTTCCTCAACACCCACCAGCTGCAGCCTCGCCCTTCCGCCCTTCCAGAGCAGCTCTCCCTCTGGCGCAGGCCTCGGATCCAGGCAGGTTGCACGACCTCGGGGAAGG